TTTTTTAAAAAACATTTTCGTGTCAACACTCTGTGAGTCATGTGTGACAAGACAGCAGATCCAGAAAGCCTTTCATGAAACATAGTAAAAAAAAAAAAAACTGAGACAGATGTGGAAGAAATCCAATATTCTTCAAATGAGGCAAAAAGGACACAAAAAAAGTGTAACAATGGACAAAGAATGTATATGCATACTTACTTTGTAGCTCAAAGAGCCACAATCTTTGTCTCACTCGGCTCCTATGATAGCTTCAATAGAACAATAACTACCCACAGTTTTTTGTCAAAGACTTTTATCTAGGCAGTAAAGACATCAATAATTTCTAATGCTGAAACAGCCCCGGGAGTTGTAGGCGAAAAAAAAAAAAAAAAGAGGAGAATGATGTTTGGTGGTGTTGTTGCTGCATTGACGCCAGCACTGTGGCTTTTATCATCATCATAGATTTACAATACAAAAAGAGGCCGGGATGCTTAGTTAATTTGAGGAGGAAAGAATGCATCCAGCTCCTTTATATAAGGTTTACCTGGGGGCTGGTAAAAACCCAGTCGTTTTAATGACAGCACTCTCTCTCCACAGGGGAAACAAACCAGAGCTCACTTTGTACGTTAACCACACGAAGAAGAAGCCACTATTCACTTTCCCCGCTTATAAGTGAGCCACTTATAAAACACAAAGCTCCATGTCCAAGAAGCAAAAAGAGAGATACAGCGCAAAAAAAAAAGACAGAGAGAGGCAGAGACGGGGGAGAGAGAGATCTGTTATGTAACACTGGGGAGTGCAAATCTGCTCATCATGCTTCTCATGTTCCTGTCAGAGAATTTTTATGGTTGTTTTGTTTATAACGTTCTGCAGAATAATGAGAGAGACAAGATGGAGAGCATGAGAACAGCTGCAACACATCTATCGCCTTTATATTTTTGCCACTTTAAAAAGGAGGCGCAGTGGAGGACGGGGGAGCACAGTAACAGTTTAGGCTGTGCGGTATGCTGCAGAGAGAGCATCTCTGAATGTGGAAGCAGAGAGAGGTTTCTCTAAGCTGCGCTCACATTTCTGGCTTGTGCTCTTGCAGGGACGTGGATGTTGAAAACTGAGAGGACCTGGTAAAGGGCACGTGCAGCCTGAGAGACCTTCAGCATCCAGCCGGCCTCACCTCACCCTCCTCTCTCGTCTCTGCGAACAAGCTCTCAGCATTCACTCTGCTCTCATCTGACAGAGGAAATGAATCAGAAACTCATTTATTCTCCTGCTGCACATCTATTCATTTCACAGGCTGTGACCACTGCCCACTTGTGTTCTGATCAGTAACTGAAGAGCTGCCCTTCACCGGCCTCAATCACTTTAAACACCCGCCACGTTCTCACACGACAAACTTCCCCGAGCCCGAGACAGATCGCCACACACATACAGTGTGTGCATGACGCTCAGACGCACTCTTGCAGACACACAAACCAAGAAACACATCAAAAAGATGCGGATGATATAATCTATGATGGCTGTAACTGGTGGTGATGCAACAGTGAACCAATGCTTTCAGAAGCCTGCCCTCTACAGAAGCACGGCTCCCACTACAACAAGATCAAAGACAATTTAGAGGAGGCTCGCATCCCTCCTCGCAGCTTGGAAAAAAATGTACTCAAACCTGAGAAAATGAATTGTGGGATTGTGTTTTTCCAGCCCACCTTTCTGCTCTGGCGCTCTGGTGCTCCCTCTGCATTTTCAGATGTACTGCAGGTCCTGTGGAAACATTGCAGGGAAGAGTGGGATATGATACCCATGGGTGTTGATGGCATGCATTTTCTATTTTAGTGTGGTTGGTGCGTAGATGTTTTGGGGATGGGGAGGGGGGGCCATGTTTGTGTATGAAGTATGTACCTGTAAGAGATGAGGTGCTGTATCCACTCAACATGTCCAGGAACATTAAAAAAAAAACAAAAAACCCAACAACAACAAATAAAAAAAACCCATCAGAACTTGCTGTTCACTTAATCTCAACCCCACAGAACATCCCATTATTTGACCTTGTCAGGATATAGACTAACTTATCTCATAAACAGAAAGAATAAAAAAGCTTCTAATGAACATCGATGCTGCGTTTTTCACTCCTGGCACAAATGCTTGTTTCTTCATTACGCACATTCACTTGTCCCTTTAATATTTTTCTCTGCAATGGAAACTGCTCATCCACCATCATCAGTCTCCACTCTTTGATCTTGGGCTGGCTGCACGCATGCGCCCCTCATTGGCTCCTCTGCACTGTCTGGAGTAAGTTGGATGTGCGCTCTCCTCACTCGCATCCAGAAACCACCTCAAAAGCTGTTGCGATGGGGAGGATCAGGAAAAACCACTTTGGGATTTTGACTTTTTCCTTACTAGTGACTTTCGTTTGGGCTCAAAGGTAAACGTCGTTTGTGTGTTTTTTCAATTTTTTTTCTTCCTCCTCCATCCTCCGTCTTGCGATGCCATGTATAGCCTCTGTTGAAGCGTGCCTGGCGTGTGATATTAACAAGCTATTTTGCATTACACCACCTTTTTCTCTCCACAGCGTCAAGGATATCAAAGATCCGAGCAATATGCCTCTGGTAAAAGAAACAGTGGACAGGCTGATGAAAGGATACGACATTCGGTTGAGGCCAGATTTCGGAGGTAACGAGAAAAAAAAAAAAAAATGTGAAAACGGAATGTCATGTTTTCACGCCCCTCCTGACGCGCGATACATGTGTAATGAATCGCAAAATCTGCTTTAATTTACATAATCATCCCTTCACAGTCAAATAGGCCTTTCCAATTAGGGCTAAGAGAAATGATGTGCATGTTTCATCCGATGAAAGGCTTTTAACGTGATCGATACCGCTCATCAATGTTTGATTAGTCCGCTAAATAAATGAAATTAGCGCCATTTGGTGCTCATCTGTGTGTCAAACATGTAGGTTGGCGCTCACGGTGATGCACAAGTCTCCTGTATGTGGGGATCAGAGAGGGAACCTGAGCTCCGCGTCACGAATTTTGTGCAATTTACATGATGAGGAGGAGAAAAAAATGAAGAAGAATTCATGTGTCCCGTATTAACGCCTCCTCTCCTTCACAGGTGCGCCGGTGGCCGTGGGGATGAATATAGACATAGCCAGCATAGACATGGTCTCTGAAGTCAATATGGTAGGTGGATCTTTATTATCATTACCGCGCTAAATGTGGCCCGATTGTACCTGGCACGAATGCGGCAGCTTTTTCTTTTTTCTTCTTCTTTTTTTTTTAACCTCTGAAGTGGGCTACTTTATCACGGGTGTATGTGAGATTGCGTGTGTGTGTGTGGGGAGAAAAAAAAATGTCAAGGCTCCCAAACACCATCATCGCCATCCTTTTCTCAGTCTCCGCATTTGCAGCTCTGGTGTGTTGCTGCATTTGAATTCAAAACACACACTCACTGGCGCACTCGGACGCACAGCCCCGGCTGCGCGCACGGAGAGCTGCTTGTGTCTCTGTGTGTATATATGTGTGTGTGTGTATGTGTGTGTTTCACGTTGTCAAGCCTCCGTGGTGTAATTTTGTTGACACACACACACACATACACATACACCACCCCAACCTTCCTTGCAGTTACCTACAAAATGAACCAAAAAAAAAAAAAAAACATCCTCTCTCCTCCCAAACAGGCATCATTTTTGCTCGTTTTTTTTTTTTGGAAGAAGAAGAAAAAAAAGATTCCTAATTCAGCGACCAATCACATCATCACACGTCTACGTAAATGATCTTCCCCCTACTTGTCAGATGACGTAAGCATTTTTAAATAATATTATTACTATTAATAAACGTCTGGTCGCACTGGAATGGGTTTTGAGCTCTGGTGCGCAAAGATGAACTTCATGCGCGACTTGGAGAGGACAGGGGGAAAAGTTCAGCAGCCCATGCAAGAGCACCACCTATTGATCCGTGTGACAGACAGACAGACAGACAGAAAGACAGACAGACAGACCACAGCCCACATCAAACTGATCTGACTTCACTATAGGACATTAGGTACGCTCTGTTTCTTATGTGAAATTAGTGGTTTTGCTTGTGGGATGTTTTTTTTTTCTTCTTCTTCTTCTTATTTGTGCAATCAGGGAAACATTAAGAGCAGCTTTTCCAACGAGTGTGAGAAAAGAGCATTTGCAAAGCAGCCTCTCCATGGAGCAACATAATAGAAACGTTATATAAGAGCATGAAAAACAAGTTTGGCCACTAGGAATGGAAGCGGATGTGTTTTCTATTATGAAGCTGAGCAGTTTTGTTTTTTTGTTTTTTTTTCAGGAGCATGTTTGGTTAATTTTGCTAGATTCTGATCTGAGAGCTCGTCGCTCTACCTGTGTGTCTCTTTGAAAGCTGAACGAGTGCAGCAGCTTGCGTGAGTTTGCTTTTTGTTGAGGAAGAAAAGCACTGAATGGTCAGAGAGCTTTGATGGAAATGATTTATTTTGGTGGACGATGCTGCCAGAACGGAAGTGCCTTGGGGGTCCAGGGAGATTTGAAATAGAAACCCCTCACCGGCTTTCGTCTTTCTCTCTCTCTCTCTCTTTTCTCTCTTTTTTCTCTCTCTCCTTCTTTCTTTCTTTCTCCCTCTCTTCTCCATCCTTCCCTCCCACCACTTTGACTGGATCCCTGGCTGTGACTCTGGGCTCAGCAGCCATGTAATCCACCTCTGCCTTGCTCCAAAGGGTTATCTTACTTAAGAACTAGGCATCTATGCAAGCATTCATCTGGAAAAAAACACTGCTTCATACATCCGTGTGTGTGTGTGTCTGTAACAAAACACAAAACTGTGCACAAACAGTGAATGGCGACTGACGTCATGCAGCTCCCTGTGGCTATGAGAGAGCATTCATCTCTCTCATTTCTCAGAAAAGCTCTCCCTGCCAGATCTGCACAGGCGTCCCTCTGACACGACAGACAAATTTAGACAAAAAGTAAAAAAAAAAAAAAAATAAAATCACCCAGTCCTTGTGGACTTGTGTTTCACACATTGTCGTTACCTTGTGAAAAATCCTCCCTGCGACTTACATAACAGGTTGGAATCTCCTCCTCCTCCTCCTCTCTTCATGTCCAGCTCTCTTTGGTGCAATAGAGGATAACAGCGGTTGACGAGATTGATCTCAGAGAAATCAATAATATCACCGTGCACCGTGATCACGAGGATGGAGTCGGTGACCGGTGCTTGGTGCAGGGATGCTTTGATCTTCCTCATCAGGGGCAGCTGCTTTTAAGATTAAAGTGCTGAGAGGGAAAACAACACAGAGAGGGGAGGATGAAACTGGTGAAGATCAGGGTGGAAGAGAAGGTGAAGGTGACTGTGATGGGATCCACCATCTCCTCTAACGATATCTGCATAGTGAGGAAACGTTGCTGCTGGAGCCTGTTTTAACCCATCAGCACAGTTTCACTCCTTACCACATAGAGGCCTTTAAAGTTGGAAGGAATCATCTTGATCCACACTGTCACATGTGTGTTCTCTATCAGCTTCTTCCACCAAAACATCAAAATCCAGGACTTCATTTTTGTAGTGGAACCATCCGATCAAAAGGAAATCTTTTAGATGTCATATCATTTATTTTATACGCATTTACCCCAAATTCAGTGTGACATATTTAAGAAAACTTTGGCATGTCTGCAGTAATTTTGGACATTTTTGAACAATATTTCTCTACAAAACATGAGTTTGTAATAACTTTTTTGCAATGTTTGGGATTAAAATGAAAGTTCTACTTAAAGCTAATTTCATGACGATTATTCTCTTGATTGTTTGATTCGTTTTCTGGTCTGTAAAATGTTAGAAAATGATTTTTAAAAATGTCGATCAGTGTTTAGAATGTCCTGTTTTATCAGCAATCAAAAGATATCCAGTTTATCGTCATAGAAAAAGAAAAAAAAGACACATTTAGGAAGGTGGAATCAGATGATTTTGAGGGTTTTTTTTCTTTAAAAAGAAATGATTAATTGATTGTCTTAATAGTTGAGGATTCATTTAGTGCTTAAGAACAAATTGATTAATCAGTGCAGCTGCAGTGATGTTTAAAAAAAAAAAGCCACAATAGGAGGTTGAAAATGTTCCATTTTTAGAATCTGTAGCGAGTGATGTACTTGCCTTTTTTCTTTACTTCTGGGATTTATTAGAGCTAAAAAAGAAACATGAAGAGGTGTTGAGCTTTAAATGTCCTGGGAACTTGAAGATGGTCACAGAGAAGAAAATGTTCTTCGGGCAATTTAGTCAGAGCAAAGAGTGAAGTTACATCAAAAGCCTTTATTTACTCCGTATTTGGGTTTAAATCCTGAATGTGTTTGATCTTTTAGGATCTTAATCACAGCAGAATTGTAAATATAAGGCAATTCTGATCAGTGTATTTTCTAAAAGGAACTAGTTCTTCATGATAATCAGCAACCAACTCTAAGCCTGGCTATAAATGAACACAGCGTATGAACCTGAAGGAAAATGGAGGAATCTGAAGTGGAAACAATATGAGTGGATCTGAAGTCAGTGTTTGTGTGCAGGCCTGCCATCATGGTGGTGTGCAGGATTGGGTTGTAGACAGCTGCTCGCTCCTCTAATTAAAGATAAAAATGCCTCTGGTGGAGAATGAACTCTGCGTTTTGGTCGGGGCTGATTGAAGCCATTGTGGCGTTTTTGTTCTTCGCCGACATGAAGGGCACGGCGGCTGTTGAAGTGGCGTTTGAGTACGTGGTGGGATTTGTAGGCTTGTTTCTTCTCTCTGCGTGTAATGCTCATGTAACAGGCTTTGGTTCACATGTGTACCACGGTGGAGTCTTTTGTGTGTGTGTGTGTGTGTGCGTGTGTGTATTCTTCTGTGATCCGCAACATCGGCCCGTTGAGGCTCAAAGGTCAGCCATGTTGTCGGGCAATAAAAATGTGCAGGTCAGTCGGCACCGTGGTCGCAGCCTCGCCTGCATGACATTACAAATGTGCTATTTTGAGAGGGAAGTGTCCTCCGAGTCCGAGGTGTGACCACACATCCTCGCTGGGTGGGCTGTGCTGACTCACTGGGGTTAGTGCAAAATATGGCATAGATATGATATCATGGCCGAGACCCCCACTCTTGCCCGTCTGTCCGTCCGTCCGCCCGTCTGTCTGTTGAGTGCCGGCATCTCGCTCCATCACTCATCTCCCTCACTTAAGCAGCTGAAGTTTCATTTGCATAATGCTGTTTGTTTTTGCTGAAATCACAGATCCAGGAACCAAACCGCGGTTACGGTGCATTAAAAAGTGTTCTGCACACAGTCGGTGCAGCTGATTAAATACAAGTCGAGTCTGTTGTCTCAGCAATGCATCAGTGCTGCATAATAATGTCTTCAGCATGCAATCCATATGTCGGCTAGAGCTGCAATGTGAGGAGGCAGGAATAAGCAGGGGAGTAAATGAGTATTTTCACTCCTCGTTTTTTCTTCCTGCCGCTCGTTAATTACATGTAAAATACCTGAGGTTGGTGGTTGTTAAGAAGCACTGCCTGTACTATAATACTGCTCTCTGAATGTTAATTAGCTGGCTGTGAATTAAAAGATTTAAACAAACCAGCTGTGGTGGCTTCTGGGATGGAGGAATTAGTGAGGCGTGAGCGTTCCCTTTATTAAGATCATTATCCCGACAAGCGCTGGTTTCTTCACGTGAGCGAGGGGATCTGGCCGTCAGATAACGGCGGCCGATGACCAGAGGGGAAGGAGACGCAGGCCTCCACGTTACAGTACGTCCGAGTGAGCGATGCTGCTTCATGTGTCTGTGAATTAGCAACCATTTTGATCTTGTTTGTCCAAACTGATCCTGTTCCATTTTATTTTCAGCTTGTGGAAAATAAGCTTGTGTTATTTTTACTCAGTGTTGCCATGACAACACAGCCTTTTTTGGTGGATCTAGGGAAGTCAAGGAAAAGCAAATAAGGACTCTTCTTTTTTTTTCTTTTCTTTTTTTTTTTTCTAGGGACTTTTTCAAGGTTTTAAACATTTATTATCCAGATGAAGGTTGTTCTGTCTTTGAAGATGCCAGATTATTATTATTTTTTTGTGTGTGTGTGTGTGTTTGTTTTTGCGTTTCGCTATGATTTCCCTTTTTAACAATTGCTGATGTTACTAGGAATTTCCCAGAATGCTAATGACGGTGTCTGAAACAGGGAGGCA